ATAGAGATTATATGTCAAAGGTCCCATATGCCTGTGCAGTAGGTAGCTTGATGTATGCGATGGTATGTACGAGGCCAGATTTGTCACAGGCCATGAGCATGGTATCGAGATACATGCACGACCCCGGGAAGGGTCATTAGGAGGCTATGAAGTGGATTTTACGGTATATCAAAGGTACCGTAGATGTTGGTTTGGTATTTCAGAAGAATGAGAAGACAGGGCAGGATTGTATTGGCTATATGGATTCAGATTATACGGGGGATCTTGACAAGCACCGGTCTACTTCAGGATATGTGTTTACATTGACAAGAGCACCGGTATGTTGGAGATGTACACTTCAGTCCACAGTGGCTCTCTCTACTTCAGAGGCGGAGTATATGGCGGTGACTGAAGCTGTTAAGGAGGCTTTGTGGTTGCGTGGATTATTGGAGAACTTGGGGATTACATAGGAGACCCTTCGGGTATATTGTGATAGCATGTCAGCTATCTATTTGGCGAAGAACCAGGTTTATCATGCGTGCACAAAGTACATCGATGTCAGATCCCACTTTGTTCGTGACGTTTTAGATAATGGAGACGTCATATTGGAGAAGGTCCATACGAAGGATAACCCTGCAGATATGTTGACCAAAGTTGTTTCAGGTGTGAAGTTTGGTCATTGTTTGGAGCTTTAAAACATTCTTCGGTGTTGAGGCCTTTGGAGGCCATTAGGTGAACTAAGTGAAGGCTTGATTCCTTGGGGAAGAGGATACGTAGGCAGTTATTTATGATGCAGCCGATTTGGTGAGTTGATACCGACATTTGGAGAGTGTCACGCCCCGCTTCCCAAAATACTCAGGAATCGGAACGTGAACAAGTCCGCGACGTATTAGATTGAGAAGAAATATACACTATTTTTTTTTCTTCTCAATCCAATACGCTAAGCGTCAAAAATATAATATACGAAGTCACAGGTCCCCGATCACACATAGCAAGAATATAAAGACAACCCAGAATAAAAATAGACATATCATCAATGGTAAATCATCCCAGACATAAAATATGGGTCAAACGTACCCTTATACAAAGCTGAACAAATGAGTACTGAAGAGATATAAAAATACATCGAGCAATGGAAAAAGAAAGAACTACAAAAATAAACTGGAACCATCAAAGAATAAGCTTCGGCTCCTTCTTCTGCTCCGTCTACATGGCACTTCTGTTGAAAATCCTCTGGCTCCTGCTGAACCTGTTCTTCCTCTAAGCTAAGTCTGACGTACACCAGAGAAAACAGGTGTACGTCAGCGTGTATGGCACACGGCAAGACCCGTCCCCACAAAGAAAATAAAACGAACAAAAATCCAATGCGAAAAACGATACGATAACAGAAACAACAAAAGAAGGTACCACTGAAATCCACAACGGGAAATCCAACAAAATCAATCAGGTAACGAGATCATGTAGCTAACGATCAGTCTAATCATCCAAGCAACAAGGTTATACAATAGATGGAATTAATACTTAAATACCTACAACTCGAGACGTAGTACGTCGAGCGAAATAATCCAAACAAGGAAACCCTCATGTATATACCATATGTCTCGAATTGTAAATAATTAAATATTAATCCCGATCTATGTACGGAAAGAAATACAACTGATCTACGTCTCACAAGAATCCATAAATTCTAACCAAAATGACGATACTGATTCACCTTGACCCAACAAGCAACCACAGTGGCGACACCGATCCACTGGTAACAAGTCATGTAACTAGTCATCCTACAACAGGTCACAGGTTCATATCTCACACAGAGTCAACGCTCATATTATCGGATAACTGACTGTTCACATATCCCCTACGTGCATCTCATCAAATAAATTCAGGAATCAAAGTAGCGACACCGATCTACTTTGACCCAACCAATCAGCCCCCAGTGGCGACACCGATCCACTGTGACTCAACAAACCAACAAATCACAGTGGCAACACCGATCCACTATGACTTAACAAACCAACCAATCCCAGTGGCGACACCGATCCACTGGTATGAACCTAGAAGATATATCAACAGTCTTATCCGATTACATAAACATGGACTTTCCCACCCCCAACTCATCTTGCTTTTCTAAGTCAACAATACACAGGTATCTAGGTCTTGCTCAAGTCACACAGGTCATTCTAGTCATAAACTACTAACGATTCTCAATCACAAGAAGAAACAATCAATGCAACTAATAATGTGTAATAATATCATGACATATCAGATAATCAAAATAAATAGTTACAAATCATAAACAGCGTCTACATAATTCAGAAAATAATCTTTTTCTAAATTAATTCATTTTAAATTATTTCACTTAACAATTAATCTAAACTAATTCATTTTCCAAAATAAATTCTTTTAAATTATTATAATTATCTAAAAAAATGATTCTTTTGCCGCACTAAATTCTTTTAATTCATTATAATTTTTCTGAAAATGTCATTATCATATTACCAAGATATAATTAATATTCTTCAACAAACAATCCCAGGCAGATAAATACGTCGCAATTAAACTACCAATTAAACTACGCAAACGATTCATAATAATGTAAATATTCAACTACGAATCAAGGAGAGCGGGATCTTGCCTCGGGGTTTCGTCGAACAGATCGACGTTGACGTGCGGGTTGGGGCTGACGGCGAAGGCCAGGCGGCGAGCTCGGGTCGGCGTCGGGCAACGGCAAGGTGGCGTCACTAGTTGTCGGAGG